AAGAGGATCACTTTAGCCCAGGAGTTCAAGACCAGTCTCGGCAACACAGGGAGACCTCATCTCTACAAAAAATAAAATCAGTTGGGCATGGCGGTGCATGCCTAAAGTCCCAGCTACTTGGGAGGCTGAGGTGGGAGGATCCCTTGAGCCCTAGGGGTTGAGGCTGCAGTGAGCGAGATTGCTTCACTGTATTCAGCCTGGACGACAGAGTGAGAACCTGTCTCAAAAATAAACAAACAGGCCGGGCGCGATGGTTCACACCTATAATCCTAGCACTTTGGGAAGCCAAGGCGGGCAGGTGACTTGAGGTCAGGAGTTCGAAATCAGTCTGGCCAACATGATGAAACCCTGTCTCTACTAAAAATACAAAAATTAGCTGGGTATAGTGGTGCATGCCTGTGATCCCAGCTACTCAGGAGGCTGAGACAGGAGAATCACTTGAACCCGGGATACAGAGGTTGCAGTGAGCCAAGATCGTGCCACTGCACTCCAGCCTGGGTGACAGAGCAAGACTCCATCTCAAAAAAAAAAGAAAAGAAAATTAAAATTAAAAAAATAAATAAATAAAAAATTTTAAAATAAAGGAATTAGAAAACAAGCTTCACCTCCTCCGGGAAGTGTGCCTTCATCTCCCGTCACCAGAGAGGTTAGGCGCCCTCCTGGGAGCTCTGCGTTTGCTCCAGGATGATGGCGCTGCGTTGTCATGGGTGTGCCTAGCAGCGTCACGAAGGTATCACCCTAAGCAGGAAGAAAATCAACTTCCTCGTGGCAGATTTTACATGTACCTGGAGGCTTGAGGATGGGAAAATGAGACCGTCCCTGTAAACCTCATGAAATTAATCAGAGAACAGAGAGGAGAAATGGAAACAAGCCAGGCTTGCAGCACACCCAGCGCTGACCATGAGGTCAGCTGCCCCGATCTGCTTCCTCTTAGTTGTCTGGTGCCTGCTGTTCTAGAATCGTGTAGACCTGGTTACAAGATCATAGTTCCCCTTAACTGCACTATAGATAGCAACTTGAACATTATGAAACATTAAATGTTCCTTTTGAGAAATTCCTTTAGGTCCTGTGTGCCAGTGAAGCGACTGATTCCGCCAACCTGAAGGACCCCACCGGGAGCTGACTCCCCAGAAATGTCTTTTTCACATCGTGATGATTTCATCTCCCTTGCTATTACCAGTGACCCCAATTTTCAAGCCCCTCACCCTCCATAATCCCCTTAAAAGCCCCATCCCGGCCGGGCGTGGTGGCTCAAGCCTGTAATCCCAGCACTTTGGGAGGCCGGGACGGGTGGATCACGAGGTCAAGAGATGGAGACCATCCTGGCTAACACGGTGAAATCCCGTCTCTACTAAAAAATACAAAAAACTAGCCGGGCGAGGTGGCGGGCGCCTGTAGTCCCAGCTACTCGGGAGGCTGAGGCAGGAGAATGGCGTGAACCCGGGAGGCGGAGCTTGCAGTGAGCTGAGATCCGGCCACTGCACTCCAGCCTGGGTGACAGAGCGAGACTCCGTCTCAAAAAAAAAAAAAAAAAAAAGGCCCCATCCCAGAATTCCCTGGGGAGATGCATTTGCGGGTCTCCTCCCATCCCCTCGCACAGTGCTCTGTGATCATGAAACTCTCTCTACGGCATCCCTGCTGTCCAGTGTAACAGGTCTGTGACAGGGCAGCGGGCGTACAAATCTATTAGTCCTGTAACAAAAAGCACACCTCTATTTTTCCCGTGGAGCCATGTCTAGAGCCCTGCAGGTCCATGCCAGATGGGTTCCAGCAGTCCCTTTCTCTCTCTCTCTCTCTCTCTCTCTCTCTCTCTCTCTCTCTCTCTGAGACAGAGTCTCACTCTGTCACCCAGGCTGGAGTGCAGTGGTGCAATCTCGACTCACTGCAAGCTCCACCTCCCAGGTTCAGGTTCACACCATTCTCCGGCCTCAGCCTCCCCAGCAGCTGGGACTACAGGTGCCCACCACCATGCCCGGCTAATTTTTGTATTTTTAGTAGAGATGGGATATCACCATGTTGGCCAGGCTGGTCTCGAACTCCTGACCTCAGGAGACCCACCCAACCTCGTCGGCCTCCCAAAGTGTTGGGATTACAGGCATGAGCCACCATGCCCCGCCTCCTTCTCTCTTGTAGGCTTCCTTCTTCCAGCACCTGCAAGATCAAGGCCAGGGAGACCTCCTTCCCTGGCTCCATCTGGGACAATCACAGTGTTTCTGTGGTCCCCTCTGAGGCTAGAATTGGTCTCTCAGTTCCTGCATTGCAGAGCAGGTGCAAGCTGAACAAGCAACACTGATCTTAGCAGAGCCTTGTGTATTCAAATAGACATTTACTGAGCTGAGACTGAGTGCCAGGCATTGAGAATACAATATGTCAGGCAAGATTCCTGCCCCAAGAATAATGATAATTAAAATAGCAAGCATTTATTGCACACTGATTATCTTCTAGGCACTGCATTAATTTTTTTTTTTTTTTTTTTTTTTGAGACCAAGTCTCACTCTGTCATCCAGACTGGAGTGCAATGGCGCGATGTCAGCTCACCGCTACCTCTGCCTCCTGGGTTCAAGCGATTCTCCTGCCTCAGCCTCCTGAGTAGCTGGGATTACAGGCGCCCACCACCACGCCTAGCTAATTTTTGTACTTTTAGTAGAGACAGAGTTTCACCATCTTGGCTAAGCTGCTCTCAAACTCCTGATCTCGTGATCCACCCATCTCAGCCTCCCAAAGTGCTGGGATTACAGGTGTGAGCCACCGTGCCCGGCCCTGGCCTTCTTTTCTTTTTCTTTTTGGAGCGCAGTGGCACGATCATAGCTCACTGCAGCCTCGAACTCCTGGCCTCAAGTGATCCTTCCACCTCACCCTCTCAAACAGTGGGATTGCAGGTGTGCCTCACCTTACCCAGCCTAGGTGCCATTAACTCCATTGTCTAGATGAGTAAACAAACGTGGAGGCTAGGCTTGTCTAAGGGCACACAGCTAACTAGGGGGTAGAACCCAGCTTTAGACCCGGGAAGCCCTGTTCCAGAGCTTACTCCTTTAACCATTAACTAAACCAGTGGGGACAAATAATGGAGAAGTAAACAATAAAAAAGATACTGGCCGGGTGGCTCACGCCTGTAATTCCAGCACTTTGGGAGGCCAAGGCGGGCGGATCACCTGAGGTCAGGAGTTCGAGACCAGCCTGGCCAACATGGTGAAACCCCGTCTCTACTGAAAATATAAAAATTAGCCAGGCGTGGTGGCACATGCCTGTAATTCCAGCTACTTGGGAAGTTGAGGCAGGAGAATCACTTGAACCCCTGGAGGTGGAGGTTGCAGTGAGCCGAGATCACACCACTGCACTCCAGCCTGGCGACAGAGTGAGACTCCATCTCAGAAAAACAAAAAAAAACAAAAAAAACCAACCAAACAAACAAAAAAAGACGGAGTCTTGCTCTATTGCCCAAGCTGGCCTTGAACTCCCAGTTTCAAGCAATCTTCCCAGCTTACCCTCCCAGAGCCCTGGAATTACAGGCATGAGCGACCGCACTAGGCCGATCTTTGCTTAATTTAATATTATTTTCCTCTTTCTCTGATCACCTGATCTGTTATTATTGCCCCAACCTTGTTTTCATTCAAGTATCCTGTCTTCACTTTCATTTCCTGGGTGTTAAGCAACTCATACATCATCTAAATCTGGGAAAACAAAGGCTAAATTCAATTCCAGCTCAGGCAAGGGAGAAACACAAGCAGAAGTTCAGCTTTTTGTGTTTTTGTTTTTGTTTTCAGACACAGTCTCTTTCTGTCGCTGAGGCTGGAGTATAGCAGCTCAGTCTTGGCTCACTGCAACCTCTGCCTCCCAGGTTCAAGCGATTCTCCTGCCTCAGCCTCCTGAGTAGCTGGGACTGCCGGCGCTTGCCACCACTCCCGGCTAATTTTTTTATTTTTAGTAGAGATGGGATTTCACCATGTTGGCCAGGCTGGTCTTGAACCCCTAACTTCAGGTGATCCACCCGCCTTGTGGATCTCCCAAAGTGCTAGGACTACAGGCGTGAGCCACTGCGCTTGACCTCATTATGTCTTCTGCCTCAGTATATCCATATTTTGAAATACATATTATTTTATAATTTGTTTTTGAGACAGGGTCTCCCTCTGTCACCAGGCATTGTGGCAAGTGTCTTTCAAACATTATCTCATTTGATCCTCTCCCCAACTCTAGGAAGAAGATACAATTATTATCATCCTTGTTTTACAGAATTGGAAACCAAGGCACAGAGAGGTAAAGGGACCCACCTAAGGTCACACGGAAAGTGGTGGGTCAGGGGATTGAACCGAGGGCATCTGGCTCCAGACCCTGAACTCTCCAACCCTCTGCCGCCCTCCTCCTAGGTGAGGGAGATTACATTACTGGGGACCCTGTTTCAGGATATGAAGGGGTTTTCCAAGATGTTTCTCATAGGAAAAAAAAAAAAAGGGTGTGGCTAATGCCCATAATCCCAGCACTTTGGGAGGCTGAGGCAGGCAGATCACCTGAGGTCAGGAGTTCGAGACCAGCCTGGCCAACATGGTGAAACCCCGTCTCTACTAAAAATACAAAAATTAGCCAGGCGTGGTGGCAGGTGCCTATAATCCCAGCTACTCGGGAGGCTGAGCCAGGAGAATTGCTTAAATCCAGGAGGAGGAGGTTGCAGTGAGCCGAGATCATACCACTGCACTCCAGACAGGCGACAGAGACTCCATCTCAAAAAAAAAAAAAAAGAGGGAAAATAACAAGATGTTGAGTGTGACTGGGTGGAAGCCGCTGACTTGTCCCTGGCACGGGTATGCTGATATCCCCTCCCCCTCCTTCCTCACGTCCTGCATCTCAGCGAGAATTGGCGTGCTGGGGTTAGCTGTGTGGCCATCACCCCAGCCCAGGTGAAGCCCTCGATCAGGTGAGGCCATGATCCCAAGGAGTGTTTAAGCCCAGATCCTGCCTCTTCCCTGCTTTCTGCCGAGAAGCGGGACCTCCTCTATGGAAAATATCCAGCTGGGCGAGCCTAGGAGGCAGGAGGTGAGTGGGGCCGGACTCAGGGACCAACTCTTCCCGTCTCATGACTGTGTTTACTGGGCTGGATTTTGAGAAGGGGCCAGATTGCATCAGACAGGGCCTGATGGGCTGGAGCCAGACTGTGGTCTGAGGAGGAGACACAGCCTTATAAGCTGAGGGAGTGGACTGGGAGTGGAGAGGCACGGGGCCAGGAAAGCAGAGAAAGACAAAGCGTTAGGAGAAGAAGACAGGCAGGGAGGACAGGCCGGGCACGATGGCCACCTTCCCACCAGCAACCAGCGCCCCCCAGCAGCCCCCAGGCCCAGAGGACGAGGACCCCAGCCTGGATGAATCTGACCTCTACAGCCTGGCCCATTCCTACCTGGGTAAGGCCCACTCGGCCATCTCCACGGTCCTTCCTCCTCTCCCGAAATCAGGACCCCTCCATGGACTTCCCACCCTCTCCTTTCCTCTCCTCTCCTTTCCTTTCCTCTTCGTTTCTTCCTTTCTTTCTTTTTTTTTTTGAGAGAGTCACTCTGTCACCCAGGCTGGAGTGCAGCGGTGTGATCACAACTCACTGCAGCCCCAAACTCCTGGGCTCGAGTGATCCTCCTGCTTCAGTCTCCTGAGTAGCTGGAACTTCAGGTGTGCACCACCTGTAGTGGTGAGGTGGGGTCTCACTATGTTGCCCAGGCTGATCTCGAATTCCTGGGCTCAAGCAGTTCTCCTGTCTTGGCCTCCTAAAGCACTGAGATTACAGGAGTGAGCCACCCTGCCCAGCCCACTCACCCTTTTCTAGCCAACCTGTTCCTTGGACCCTCACGTCACCCCTGTCTAGTCCCTTATCCCAAGAGTGCTGTGTTACTCAGCCTGGGACCTCACACACATCTGGGGTCCCACATTCCACAGAGGAGAAGCAGCAGACTTCCCCTTGCTCTTCCCATCCCCGCAACTCCAACCCCCTGCCTCTCCTGTGACAGGGCGTCTCATCATGCCTTTGCCCACTTCACCTCTGACTCCTGCCTTGGTTACAGGAGGTGGAGGCCGGAAAGGTCGCACCAAGAGAGAAGCTGCTGCCAACACCAACCGCCCCAGCCCTGGCGGGCACGAGAGGAAACTGGTGACCAAGCTGCAGAATTCAGAGAGGAAGAAGCGAGGGGCACGACGCTGAGACAGAGCTGGAGGTAAGGAGTCGGGGGGCCCAGAGAGCTCAAGGTGGCGCCTCTGCCATGAAGGACAGCCGGAAGGTGCGTGGTTGGGTGGGGAGGAGGGATCAGACAACTGTTATCTCAATGCAGAATAAAATGAGACACACGTTTGACTGTTTTCTAGCGGCCAGAGCAAAGGGGAACACAGAACCTTTCCAATTGGAGGGAAATTTGACTTACAGAGACAGAAACTGAGGCTGGAGAGGGTGGGTCCTTCCCTGTAGTCACGAATCAAGTAAGTGGGAGAGGCAGAATTAGAACCCAGATCTCTGTCCCTTTCATCACCTGCTTTTCCTCGCCCCCTAGATGAGGCCGGACCATGGACACTACACCCAGCAATGGAGACAGGACTGCGGAGGAAGGAAGAACCAAGACAGGATCCAGGCCAGCTTGCCACACCCCCCACCCCTGGGACTTATCCCCGCTGACTGAGTCTCTGAGGGGCTACCAGGAAAGCACCTCCAACCCCAGCAAAAGTGCAAGATGGGGAGTGAGAGGAAGGGAATGGAGAGGCAGAGCCAGGAAGATACCCCCAGAAAAGAAAGCGACAGAAGAAACTGGGGCTCCTCTAGGGCGGCAGCACCAATAAATAGACGCGCACGGCAGCCACAGCTTGGGTGTGTTTTCATCCTTGCTCTTTCTGTGTTTTTGTTCGGGCACGTGTGTGCCTGCCTGTGCCTGCACATGCATGAGCCCGGGAGAGCATCTTTGGTGTGTATTAGTGTTTGGTATATGTATCTGGGGCAGGGAGTATTCCTGCTCTTACAGGGGTCTACGCTGTGAATGTGGCTTTTGGTTCGTTTGTTTTTGCTTGCGTATATTTTAGTGCATACATTTCTGTGGGCTCCTACTTAGTGGAAAACAATTTCTTCTGCTTTTTTGCGATACTGCCCATGAAACACGGCCCTCCCCAGCGCCTGTTTTTGTTGATTATGTCCTGTTCATAGACGGGAATGCTACTTATGGATGCCATCTAAAAGATGGAGAAAACTGAGATTTAAAATATTAAAGGCCAGGGCCAGGCGCAGTGGCTCATGCCTGTAATCCCAACACTTTGGGAGGCTGAGGCAGGCGGATCACAAGGGCAGGAGTTTGAGACTAGCCTGACCAACATGGTGACACCCCGTCTCTACTAAAAATACCAAAAATTAGCCAAGCGTGGTGGTACACGCCTGTAATCTCAGCTACTCAGGAGGCTGAGGCAGTAGAATCACTTGAACCCGGGAGGTGGAAGTTGCAGTGAGCCGAGATTGTGCCATTGCACCCCAGCCTGGGTGACAGAAGGAGACTGTCTCAAAAAAAAAAAAAAACACAAAAACTAAAGTCCAGGAGCAGTGGCTCATGCCTGTAATCACAGCACTTTAGGAGCTGAGGTGGGAGGATCACCTGAGCCTAGGAGTTCAAGACCAGCCTAAGCATCATAGTAAGACCTCATCTCTACACATTTTTTTGTTTTTTGTTTTTTTTTTTTTGATACAGAGTCTCACTCTGTCGCTCAGGCTGGAGTGCAGTGGCGTGATCTCGGCTCACTGCAACCTCTGCCTCCTGGGTTCAAGCCACTCTTCTGCCTCAGCCTCCTGAGTAGCTGGGACTACAGGCACCTGCCATTACGCCTGGCTAACTTTTGTATTTTTAGTAGAAACGGGGTTTCACCATGTTGGCCAGGATAGTCTCAATCTCCCAACCTCGTGATCTACCCGCCTCGGCCTCCCAAGGTGCTGGGATTACGGGTGTGAGCCACCACGCCCCAGCCAATTTTTGTATTTTTAGTAGAGATGGGGTTTCACCATGTTGGCCAGGCTGGTCTCGAACTCCTGACCTCCAATGATCTGCCCACCTCAGCCTCCCAGCCTTTGGGAGGCCAAGGAAGGAGGATTGCTTGAGGCCCGGAGTTCGAGACCAGTCTGGGCAACATACCAAGACTCTGTCTCTACAAAAATTTAAAAATTAGCAAAGCATGGTGGCTCATGCCTGTAGTCCTAGCTGCTCAGAGGCTGAAGATGGAGGATCCCTTGAACCCAGGAGTTGGAGGCGGCAGTGAGCCATGATGGTGCCACTGCACTCCAGTCTGAGCAACAGAGTGAAACCATGTATTGAAAAAGAGCGAGCGAGCGAGGAAGGAAGGGAGGGAGGGAAGGAATGGGCACGGTGGCTCACACCTGTAATCCCAGCACTTTGGGAGGCCGAGGCAGGCAGATCACCTGAGGTCGGTAGCTTGAGATCAGCCTGACCAACATGGAGAAACCCTGTCTCTACTAAAAATATAAAAGTAGCTGAACGTGGTGGCGCATGCCTGTAATCCCAGCTACTTGAGAGGCTGAGGCAGGAGAATCGCTTGAACCTGGGAGGCAGAAGTTGCAGTGAGCTGAGATCGCGCATTGCACTCCAGCCTGGGCAACAAGAGCAAAACTCCGTCTCAAAAAAAAGAAAGAGAGAAGCAGGGAAAGAAAGAGGAAGGAAGGGAGGGAGGGAAGGAAATATTGAGGGATTTGCCCTTGCTCACTCAGGGCTCATATTCATTGATCTTATTGTCTTCGGATGTGAGGTGGGTCCCCAGGCCAAGGGGGCTGTGGGACAGGGTTCTGGGAAGTGAGATGGGGGAGGGAGATTCTTATCCAGTGCTATGTCTCAGGACCAGAGTTGCAGAAAAATATGGGGCAAACAAGAAGTGTGGTTGGAGCTGAGATGATTTATTGATTGAGATACAGGTTTGGGTTGCTGTTATGAAGAATCAAAACAGGATAGAAAGTTACTCCTCTCTTACTTAGTCCCAAGTCCTCCTGAAATGGAAGCTCCATTGTGTTGAGGATTCCAGCTGTTTTTACTCATTGTTCTGCCACATCCAAAACATGGCTTCCACTTTGAGGCCCAAAATAGCTACTCCAGGACCTGCCATCACATTTGCATATCAGCCTGTGGAAACAGAGTGTGGAAGAGACAGAGGAGGCCACACCTCTTCAATTTTAGGGCATAACTTAGGAGTAGAACACATCACATCTGCTGGGAATGTGGTTACACGGCCACACCCAACTACAAGAGAGGTTGGGAAATGTAGCATTTAGCTACTTAGCCACGTGGTAGCCAAAACTTGGGCAACGGCAGGGTTTTATGATGAAAGGAAACCAGAGAGAGTGAATGCAGGAAGAAGCTAGCAAGAAACATTGCCCACATGCAGACTCAACAGATGTTGGGGGAGAGAAAACTCTGAGACTGGGCCCCGGGCAGAGCCTGTTTCCTTTTCGCCTGTCCCTTTCACGTAAGTCCCACACTGCAGAACTTGGAGTCAGTGGTTCTTGGGGACCCAAGGACATTCACAGAGGACCAAGGTACCTGATAGAGCAGGAACAGATGCACGTCAGCTTGAACCCTTGGGGACCTGTGTCCATCTGCTTCCCTTGAGTCCAGCCTAATCACAGCCATAGAATGAATCCATGACGGGAAAGGACATTTAAAGACCTCTGGCCCAACTCTCCCCACTCAACAGTGGGATTGCCTCTGCTTGTTTGAATACCACTTATGGAGGGGAAACTTGCTGTGTTTGAAGGTTGCCGAATGTTTTTGTTTTGTTTTGTTTTGTTTTGTTTTTGGAGACAGAGTCTCGCTCTGTCACCCAGGCTGGAGTGCAGTGGTGTAATCTCGACTCACTGCAACCTCCGCCTCCCGGGTTCAAGCGATTTTCATGCCTTAGCCTTCCTGGTAGCTGGGACTACAAGTGTGTGTCACCATGCCCAGCTAATTTTTGTATTTTTAGTAGAGACAGAGTTTCACCATGTTGGCGAGGCTGGTCTTGAACTCCTGACCTCATATGATCTGCCTGCCTCGGCCTCCCAAAGTGTTGGGATTACAGGCTTGAGCCACACCACCCGGCAAAGGTTGCCTAATTCTATCTCAGGGCAAATCATTCATGTGGGCTGAAATCTGTCTCTCGTACCTGCCCTTAAATAAGCTTATGTTTTTCTGGTCCTTTCTGTCTGAGATGACTTTAATTCCTCCCCCCACCCCACCTCATGAGGCTCAGCTTAGGTGTTTCCGTCTCTTCAAAGTCCTCTCTGATGGCTGGGTGCAGAAGCTCATACCTGCAATCCCAGCACTTTGGGAGGCCGGGTGGGAGGATTGCTTGGGCCCAGGAGTTCTAGGCCAGCCTAGCAATATAGCAAGACCCTCTCTCTACAAAAAATTAAAAATTAGGCCGGGCGCGGTGGCTCAAGCCCGTAATCCCAGCACTCTGGGAGGCCGAGACGGGCGGATCACGAGGTCAGGAGATCGAGACCATCCTGGCTAACCCGGTGAAACCCCGTCTCTACTAAAAAAAAAATACAAAAAACTAGCCGGGCGAGGTGGCGGGCGCCTGTAGTCCCAGCTACTCGGGAGGCTGAGGCAGGAGAATGGCGTGAACCCGGGAGGCGGAGCTTGCAGTGAGCTGAGATCCAGCCACTGCACTCCAGCCTGGGCGACAGAGCAAGACTCTGTCTCAAAAAAAAAAAAATTAGCCAGGTGTGGTGGCTTTTGCCTGTGGGTCTACCTACTCAGGAGGTTGAGGTGAGAGGATTTCTTGAGCCTGGGAGGTGGAAGCTGCAGTGAGCCATGATCACACTCCAGCCTGGGCGTTAGAGTGAAACCCTGTCTCAAAAAAACCCACAAAAAACAAAAACCAAAGTGTTCCTTGACTTGCGATCCTCCACCCATCTCCTGACCTCCACCCCGGGCCGACCCCTCCTCTGGGATCACACAGAAGCCTGGGCCCAGAATCTTACAGTCTATCTTGGAAATCCTTCAGATTTTGCCTCCAACTCCTCTTTCCATACCAATTATGTATTAACTCAGTCAATGCTTATTGGATGCCTACTGAGTTACCAGGACCCTGCTGGAGGCCTGTGCTGCTGAGAAGGACAAATAGAATCCTGATATGACTGGAACCAGGTCTAGGGCCACCATCAGCTCTACCCAGGGAGCAAATAGCAGGAACACCACCAGGCAGTCGGCCCTCAGCCCAGCACAGACCTGGCGTGTTGGCTTCAGAAAATCCTAGAAACATCTCTCCTATTCTGTGACAAGTGTTTTATAGGCTTTGCTCCATTTAATCCTTACAATAACCCAATAGGACATACTATTAATGATCCCCTTTGTTTTCAGACCAGAATACTGAGGTTCAGAGAGGTTAAGTAATTTGCCCAAAGTCACACAGCCACAACCTGTAGGACTTGGGATTATGAACTCAGGTCTGTCTGAATTTTAAAGCCTGGATTTTTTCCTATTTGCTACATGCCTGGGAAGAACCATGTATGGACAATGAGGAATCCCAAACTCTCGTTAATTTCTGGTAAATTACTCCTCTGGGCCTGGATTTCCTCACCGGTCAAATGGTGAGACTGGCCTCTCTTGTGTCAAAAGAGAAAATGGAGGCTGGGGAGCATTGTGTCCCTAGCTGGAATGGCGACTCCCTGTCCTGGGTCCTTTGACACCAGCCAGGAGGCCTCACACAGTGCCCCTCCCTCCTGGCCTCTGACTGGCCTTTCCTGGCCTCGCCCTTGCCTGGCACAGCCTCTGCCTGAGAGGCCTTTAAGTGGCTGTTCTGGGAATTAAGGCAATTTTTGGAATTGCAGAATTTTTGGATCCGAAGTGATCCTACCCAGA